TACAGGTCGGCTAGAACTATGAGGTGAGTGAAAAGCACTCGCCTCATAGTTCTCCTTTAGGCTGGATTCCCACCTAGGTGATCGAAATATGCGCGTATGACGCACGTTTTTGCGGTCCACGAAACATGCATCAAATGCGTGTTTGAGGGCTATCCGGCTGTATCCTAATGGATACGCGTGGAAATATGCCCCAAAGAAGCTCCTGTACTTTTTTGGGCGTAGGGCGTTTTTTCAGCGTGTTCCAACGCACTGAAATACGCCCTGGTGGGAACCATGCCCATAGGAAATAATGGGATTTCACTTGCTGGGCGTTTTACAGCGCGTCGATCAGCGCTGTAAAACGCCCAGGTGGGAACCCGGCTTTAATGGCTCTAAAATTATTGCTCACTCCGATGTTTGCGTCAATGTGCGGCACAATAGGCGTAATCGTCTTCCCACGTAGGCGCACCCAACGCATATCTGTGTGTGGCGGGGACTTAAAAAAAATTTCTTTTGAAAAAAAATGTATGCTTTATTTTTTTGATTCTTTAATTTTTGTATTCTTCTTTTTTTTTTTTGGCACAACTTTTTATTTCTATTACATGGGGGGCTAAGAAACCCCCTATGGGATAGCCAATTTACATGACGGGTCCTCTTTATGGAGACATCAGGGGTCTCAAAGACCCCTAATGTCACCTAGGGACCCCCAGAGAAGCTGATGAAGCAGAGATCGGCTTCATCAGCTTCTCTAGCTGGAGAGTGACACTGAATGCAGGAAGTGATGTAATATACATCACTTCCTGCATTCGGGGACTAGAGAGTAGATCAAAGGGAGTTCATATACTGAACTCCCTTTGATCTCCTGTCACAGAGCTGCGCCGGTCCTGGCCCCATCGGGCACAGCGGATCTCAGGACCGGCAACGGCAGTGACAGCTGCTGATACAAGCGATCGAGCGTCTATAGAGACGCCCGATCGCTTGACTGTAAAGCTGCTCGTCGTGCTCCACTGTCCTCTCGTCGTGGACGAGTGGATTTTTGAAGCCCTATGTGTGTGTATGTATGTATGTATATGTGTGTGTTAAAAGAAGAGTCAGATTCTGGAAGTCCCCTACAAGATGGGGAGACTCTGGAAGAGGGTAATGACTCTCTCGTCCTTCTAGAAACCTTTTTTCACTAGATAATATTGATTTGACTACTTCAAGCTATTTATTATTATTATACAGGATTTATATAGCGCCAACAGTTTGCGCAGCGCTTTACAATATAAGGAAGACATTACAATCGCAATACAATTCAAGATGGGAAGGAGGGGCCTGCCCTGAGGGCTTCCAATCTAAAAGGGATGGGGAAATGATACATGAGGAGGGAGCTGCGTGGGGATGAATTGTTTGCGAACGTGATGGTTGAGCGGTTAGGTTGAGGTGGGATAGGCTTCCGTGAAGAGATGAGTCTTTAGGGCGCATGGGAGGAGTTGACAAGGGAGCTGGAAACCAGGAGGTATTGGGATGAGCGGAGCCGACGTTTAGGGTGATACTTTGAGACCAGGTTTGAGATATAGCCGGGGGCAGAGTTGTGGATGGCTTTGTAACTGATTGTTAATATTTTTAAATTTATCCTTTGGGCTATAGGAAGCCAGGGCAGGGATTGGCAGAGGGGGGTTGCAGACACTGATCGGTTGGTTAGGTGGATGAGTCTAGCAGCTGCATTCATGATAGACTGAAGGGGGATAGCCTGTGTGGTGGAAGGCCAATGAGGAGGGAGTTGCAATAGTCAAGACGAGAGATAACAAGGGAGTGGATGAGTAATGTTGCGGTTTCTTTGGTGAGGAAGGGGCGTATTTTGGAGATGTTACGAAGGTGAAGGCGGCAGGATTTGGATAGTGATTGGATGTGGGGAAGAAAGGTGAGGTCCGAGTCAAGGATGACACCTAGGACCTTGGCATGAGGGGAGAGCTGGATAGTTGTGTTAACAATCTCAAGGGAAAAGATGGGAGAAGGTGCACGGGCAGGAGGAAATATCAAGAGCTCTGTTTTTGAAAGATTGAGTTTTAAGAAGTGTTGCGACATCCAGACGGATATGTCTGATAGATTAGTGACACGAGAGGACACTGAGGGGGTGAGTTGTGGAGTAGAAAGATAGATTTGAGTGTCATCGGCATAGAGATGGTATTGGAAGCCATGTGCAGTTATTAACTGACCAAGGGAGGAGGTGTAGATAGAGAAGAGAAGCGGTCCAAGGACAGAGCCTTGGGGGACCCCCTACAGGAAGAGGGGAGGATTTAGAATTGTAGGTGACGCTAAAGGAGCGCTTAGGCAGGAGGAGAACCAAGAGTGCAGAGTCTTGTAGCCCAAGTGACTGGAGTTTTTTGAGGAGGAGCAGGTGGTCAACATTGTCAAAAGCAGCAGAAAGATCTAATGGCAAGAGTAGGGAATAGTGGCCTTTTCTTTTTAGCAGTGAGTAGGTAATTAGTGAGTTTTAGGAGGGCGGTGTCAGTGGCGTGTTGGGGGCGCAAGCCAGATTGTAAGGGGTCAAGAAGGTTGTGATCAGCGAGGTGGCGGCTGTAGGTGAGGCGTTCTAGGAGTTTGGAGGTGAAAGGGAGTAAGGAGATTGGTCTGAGATTGAGGTCGGTCAGGTCCATTGAGGGTTTTTTGGGTATTGGGGTGACCAGGGCATGCTTCAGAGGGGAGGGAAAGATTCCAGTAGAGAGTTAGAGTTTGAAAATGTGAGTAAGAGAGTGTAGGATAGAGGATGAGGGTGACCGAAGTAGAGGTGAAGGAACAGGGTCCAGGGGGCAAGTAGTCAGGTGGGTGTCGGAGAGAAGCTTTGTAACCTCCTCTGTGGTGACGGGGTCAAAAGAGGAGAGTAACAAGTATGATGGCTACAGAGCAAATTCCTGACCCTCCTAGGAAAGTTTCAGTGCAAGATGGTTTATAGGGGTTTGGCTGAATCTCAAAGGGAGAGTTTTTTTCCAATGCATCTGTCGATTTAAGGATTTGGTAGCAGGAGAGTGGGAAGATCTGGAAAATGTTTAGGCTTCAGATCTTGGAAGAGAAGGTTCCCTTTTAGTAAGGATGAAGAGAGGCATTTTAAGTGCCCAAAACTTGATGCTCCCTTGGCGCAGGTTTCCAAAAAAAGGCTGACCTTTCATTTGAAGATGCAAGTTCTATTAAGGATCAAATGGATCGTAATGCAGAAGCCATGCTGAAAAGAGCTTGGGATGCCAATGCAGCTTCTATGACCCTGGCTGTAGCAGCTCCATGTGTGGCTTGGAACATAGACCTATGGCTAGAGAGTTTCGCTCCATGTTTCGAAAGGTGCTCCATCAGAACAGATCTTAGCATCTTTAACGGTGTTGAGCAAAGCGGTAGTATACTTAGCAGATGCTTCTGCAGAATCAATTCGAGCGGGGGCCTTGCTCCATTCTCCCAGACGAGCCATTTGGTTAAAATCCTGGGAAGGGGATTTGACTTCTAAATCTAGGCTGTGCGCTCTCCCCCTTGAAGGGGGTCTTCTATTTGGCACAGGTTTAGATGAAGTTTTAGCTCTGAAAAAGCTAACAATTTTCAGAAAAAAGGAATAGAATACAGAATCGAAAATGTTTTCGTCCGCCACACGAACCAAGGAAGAGGGGGTGGGAACAACCCAATAGAACCCAGGGTCTTAGGAAAACCTGTCCATTTCAAAAAAAAGGGTGAAGGAGGATTGCTCTTTACTAATCCTGAAACCACCAACAAAAATTCCAAATGACGCCAACGAAAGATTGGGAGGGAGACTGTCCCTGTTCTCAAAGTCGGTATAGCTTGAAACTCTTATCAGTGGGTTACCATCTAGAGTTCCTTTATCTCCCTCATACCTTTTTTCTGACTGTTTTGTCCAAAGAGTCAGATAAAGGCCAAAGCCCTTGAGCAATGCATCCTCACTTTGGCCTCACAGAATGTAATACCACCAGTTCCACTAGCACAACAGTTCCAAGGTTTTTACTCATGCGTTTCTGTTTCCAAAGCCAGGGAGCAGGGTCAGAATGATCCTAAACCTAAAGAAATTGAATAGATTTTTGGTGTTCAAGCATTTCCATATGGAAAGCGTATATTCAGGAAGGCAAACTCTCCAAAATTGGTCACTCTGGATCTAAAAGATGCGTATCACCATGTTCCAATCTCTGTAGAGCATCAAAAGGGTCTACGATTTGCAATCGGGACAATCAGAGGGGTTGGTCATTTGCAGGTTTGAGCCCTCCCATTTGGTCTATCAGGAGCCCCAAGAATGTTTACAAAGATCTTGGCAGAACAGATGGCTTTTTTCTAATTCCTTATCTACCCTGTTTCCCCAAAAATAAGACCTACCCCGAAAATAAGACCTAGTACTATTTTTGGGAATTGCTTAAATATAAGAGCTACCCCGAAAATAAGACCTAGTTGTGGCCATTCCCCGGGCCGGTGGTAGCATAAGGGGGAACTTGAAAAGTCGCGGGAGAGAATCAGCGGTGCCAACAAAGCCAGCGCTAGAGGAAGCAAGGTGGCAGCGGAGGTAGCAGAGCCGCATAAGCCGATGCTTCCTCTATAGCGCGGGCTCCTGTCACTGGCGGAGTGATACCAAATGCACTCCGCCTGTGAGGAATCGATAGTGAAAGTGCGCTTCGCTCATTCTGGCCAGCGATTGGTTAGCAAATTGCTCTTGGAAAGGTACGGCACCCCTGATTGCTCTCATCACCATTATTTTGTACATGAAGACTGTTGTACATGAATAAGTGTGGATTGTTGTACATAAAAAAAAATAATAATAAATAAGACCTACCCCAAAAATTAGACCTAGTGTGTTTTTTTTGAGCCCAAAAAAATATAAGACAGTGTCTTATTTTCGGGGAAACCCGGTAGACTATATTCTTTACACCCAATCAGAAAGGGAGGTGTTACAAAGTCTAGAAAAAGTAAAATGTTAACTAGCATTTCTGGGTTGGATAGTGAATCTGGAAAAGTCATCACTGGTCCCTTCTCAATTATTTTTTTCCTCTTCTGTTTAGTGTCCATCCTTGGAACAGTATGCAATGCGTGCTTTTGCTGATGCTCTGGAAACGATTCCTATGTCACTTGCTGAGAACAGTGGCTTGAGCCCTATACAAACCATGACGGAAATACAAGCTAAACAAGTAAAAGAAAACAACCCTGCACTTGGCATTGATTGTCTGCATAAGGGCACTAATGGTAAGTTGTTTCCTATTGTAGCTTTACTTTCATTCTCATTTAAGTTTTGGTTCATCTATTTAACTGTGTGCGTTTAATGGTAAAGTGGACAGGTAAAGTATTCAGACATTGCCATAGGATATGTCATAGAAAGTTCTAACAAAAAAACTCTGCCAAATAACCATGATAATATGTAAAGCTGTTAATCTTGATAAACGTTATTAGATGGCCATGTGCAAAAACAGCCTTTCATCCTAATCCCCATGGCAGCAAATGTGTGTAAGCTTCCGATCCATATAAATTGAAGTAACAATTTGCTACTTTACCTTTTACCTATATCATTACATAGCCAAAACTCCAAAGTAGGCTTTTTGTTTTAAGAGCAAATACGAGGTTCAGAAGAGCATGATGGCCAATTCATAACCATGTAACAAAACCTTGTATTTGATCCATAAAAACATTCCTTATGATAATAGCCCTATATTTTAACCTACACTTGTTTTGCTATGGAACTTTTACAGCTATATGTCTGATTCTTGTTGTAAAGCCAAGGAAACTTACCCAGAAGTAGTATTAATGTGCTTTTACTATTCAACAAATGCTACATACACAAACCACTTCGTTGCAGGTAAAACAATACAAAATACAAACTGCTAATACATGCATGTATACACACGTGCAATCTACCTTTTCCTAGCACATGCAATGGTTTCTAGAAGAGGATACACTAAAATTCCTTTGGATTCTGGATTTGCTGGTCTACATATTCCTTACTGAACAGGACTTCTAGGCACTTGAGCGATCTTGGGAAAATTGTTCTTGTTGCAGTTTCTCTCTCTCTCTCTCTCTCCTCTCTCCTCTTAATGACCTCCTGCTTTTTCAAGTGTGCTGCTGGCTTTTATTTAGAAAAATAGTATCCAACACCTGTGGGCATCGCCCTTACATCTCACCTACTATTCTAGGACGTGCATATCTCTTTTTTCCAACTGGCAGCACAGCCCCATGTATGCCACCCCTGGTCAGCTATGCCTAAAAGGCCAGGCCATTGTTGACCAGCTTGGGTGGGGTATGTTTACACAAACTTAACTCCAAACAAGCCGGGGGCTCTATTTTCGGCCGTCCAGGCACACGCTGCGGCACCCATCTGAGCCAGCGCTGTAGGAGTGCTCCCCCAGCAGCACCCCCAGGTTCCAGGCCATCTCCAGCAGCAAGGCCTACAAAGACCAGCAGGCGAGAAAGGCATGGGGGGGGGGAGGGGAACGATGGAGGCCCACAGACCTCACACAGTAGACCCCCCCAGGAACCCACAGCAGTGTCCCCACAGGGAATCTCAGCCAAGGACCGCCACAGAGGGACAGGTAGCCCCAAAGTCCTCCCGCACAGTCTCTGCCCCATATACATCCCACCCATTTGGGGAATGCGAACCGTCCTTGTCTCGCAGCCACCGCCATCACACGAGACGCCGGGCCAAATCCATCGCCAGCCTTTTTTGGAGTGCTGTGACTGGTCGGCCGAGACCCACTTGCATTTGCGCTCCGTCGGGACAAGCCCACAGGCCACTTCGTCGCAGCTGACCCACTGTAGCAGAGTCTGCATGCGGTCGCCCAGGGGAGACTCCAAGGATCTTACACATCCAGCTTGTCGCCCTAATGACACTTGCTAGAAGCATCAGCGAAAAAACAGGAAGAAGTCGGGTAAGAATACCCAAGAAAAAATTCTTAGCTCCTTACTCCTGATGCTAGGTAAAAAACTGGAGACTTGTCAGCAGGTGGGTGGGTTTGGCCACCAGCTGGGGCCACCCCTAGGCTGTAATGTCTTTAGTGTTGTGCCTAGCGTCCTTCTCCTACAGTACATGATCTCCGATCTGTTCCCAGTGTCCTTCAATGAACGGAAGAGAAATCTTTTTTACTATCAAGTAGTTCCTCTTTTATATAGTCTTTGAAAAGTGTCAATGGATCTAAAAAAATGCAGCCTCTTTATCTGCTTGATGAAATTTCCTAATTGTGTGCCTTTTATGACTGCAGCTCATTCTGTGCAGGGCTCTAAGCTGGCACCATCTTGCTTCTCTCCTGTGTGTCCAGCATTTGTGTAACTGCCTGTTCTGCTCTCCTAGCAGAATAATTCGGTGTACCTTGGGTTTCCTGACATTAGGACATAATTCTGGTGTTTCTCTGCTTCCCCATGCCTGGAGTTATAGCAGAGAATGCTGGGCACAGTTTAGAAGATGGTGCATCAGTTTTGCATGTCCTCCTTGCTCTGCATCAGGTCACACCAGTATAATATAGATGTTATACTATGTATGACAATCATGTGCCTCCCCTATTAAGAATGGAAATGCGCTTTGAGACCTAGTTCTGTGGGTCTATCTACCCAGATGAGCACCATTCCAATTTTTGCATTCACTGGGTGGAGTTGAACGTCTGTCAGGATTCTGTGGCAACTGCTTACTTGGAAGTTTGGATCCATCTAGTGCTGGGCTATCCCCTGCATTTATTTGCGCAATTTTAATTGTTGCACATTGGACTTTGTATTTATCACTCTGTTCACATTTTTTTCATGTTTTGATATGCTCTTTTGTATAGATTTTTCAAGCTTATACTCTTGTATCTTATTGTTCTATCACATATTTCACTGAATTGTATATATTTATTTAGCTCGGCACATGATTGTCATACATGTTTTAGATATTTTTTTTCCATTTAACTTAAGTGCCTAGTAGCTCTTTGCATTTATTCACTTGCACTGATCACTTATTATTTTTATATATTTTATACTAGCTGTCCATATGTTTTTATGGGGGCCATATTTTTCAATAGTGTATATATTTGTATGCATGTAAAATTCTATAAATATATATTCTGTTCTTATAGATATGAAGCAGCAGCATGTGATTGAAACACTAATTGGAAAAAAGCAGCAGATTTCTTTGGCTACACAAGTTGTGAAAATGATTTTGAAGATTGATGACATACGCCGTCCTGGTGAAACAGAGGAGTGAGAAGCTTCAGTAATGTACTTTTTCATTGAGAAGTCAAATTCAGTTCATGTAGTGGGGTTGTCCTGTTATTTTTGCGATACAGCTTTGATTCATTGTACTCCTTCCACCAAAAATAAATGAATAATATTTGAGTTAATTTGTCAATTTTATTGCTAGACTTTTGGAGCATTTATACCTATTTGTATGGATGTCTTGTGTGTACTGCTTTTGCTACCACCAGCATTTCCACTTTTTATGGTGCTTATATTTAAAACAATCTAATAATCTGAACTAAACACCACTGGCTCTAATTAGCTACACGTGCCTACACGTCATATCAGTTCTCCTATTCTGCACCTGCTGTGAACCATCTGGAGACTCTATTATCCACCTGCCTGAATAGGGCTTGCTCTCTGGCACTATTGCTGGTTAAAGAGTTTTGTTTTTTTCATGACCAAGCATATGTATAGTCAGTGTATATTTGCAGTTATTGCTGAATTTGGGCAAATTGGGGTGGGGGGGGGGGCGCGCTGTGGGGAG